GCCAACGGCGGGGGCGGGGGCTACGGCGGGGGCGTTTATGGGCGCGGGGGCTCCGGCTCCCGTGCGCCACAGAAGAGCGCGATGACGCCGGGCTGTCACCCCGTGAGGTTTAATGCGTGCGATGCACGGCAGGGCCTGGGACAGAGCCTTCCCCGCCGTTTTCAATTCAGATAGCGAACCGGGTCTAAAGACGATGTCCAAGCCTATAGGCCGGGGCAGATGGCAAGGTAGAAGTGGAGGGGGGGGGACAAACCCCCAAACTACCCGGTGTACGTCATGAGCATCGTCACCTCGCACAAAGGTGAAAGCCCCGACGGTTTGAGGAGCAGCAGGCAGCCCTGCCCCCGCGCCAGCCGCTGGGAGAAGCCGGCCGGGGTGCACGCCTTCCGTCACAACCGACTTCTCGCAAGGCCCTTCCTTCTTCGTGCTTACAAGTTTTTCAGTAGCTTGAAAAGAATTATTAACCCTTTGAAAATAAAGGTAGAAAAAGGTGCTTCACCATTTTAAAAGCAGATAAAAAAAAATCCAAGAGCCTGTACAACACAAAAAGTGCACAGTTCACTTCCATTTTTACATTATTTTAGAATTAAGGATCAGAGACGCCACTGACACTTTTGTTTCATGGCTCAGAAAAAAGGAAAAGGCAAGGGGGAGCAGAAAATAAAAAGCTTCATAGCATTCACTTACTACTTGAATAAAGAACTGAGTTGCAGGAACCACTATGAAGCCCATGCGTCCATCTACTACTTTCTGTACATGCAGAGTGGTTAGGATGAGGAAGAAGACCAGGAGGAAGTCTACAAAGAAGCACTGACTTTGAAAACTGGAATTTATACTACTTATGAGAACGTGGAGGATCTTCAGAAATAAAACAGACTAAAAATCCACACCACCAGAGACGCATAAGGTACAGGTAGGCAAGCACCAATTTTTTAAGTTATCTTGATAGTCTCATAGAAACAGATCTGAAAAAATTAGCAAGTTAGAAGAGAGGTGACAAAGTTAGGATGAAGATACTAATAAATCCAGCCTGGAAGCAGGACAGACGTACATACATCACTTGTATAGTTTTCCAGAAGTTGGAAGATGTACACAGGGTTGACACCGATAGCTTGGCAAGCTGAACTTCTACACTGGAAGAAATTTACTATCATGTTGGCTGAAAACATTTACAGAACTATATGCTTATAAACCAGAGATTAATAACCATGTGCAACTTTAGAAGACTTCTATAAAGTATCTTTAATGACTTGGTTCATGTCATTTTAAAAACAGTCATTTTCAAGAAAATCAATACATTTGTTGTATTGACTTTGCTTTCCCATTCCTATCCCCATCTTCGCTACTGGTTTGGCATCTACAGTATATACAGTCTGATGCCTGGGAAGATATATTGAAAATTAATCCCAAGTTTCCAACTTGCTAATTATAGTGCACAATTATTGTAGACTTCCCCCACCATCCCCCTACCTCAGTATAATAAAAAAAAAAAAAAAAAAGAAAATCTTTCTGTGAAAGCTCCCCAAAATGCCAAAGATGTCATTAGCAAAGTGTTTCTCTAATCTATATATATGGCCTGTCTAACTTTAAAAATTGATACGCAGTCATGCAAATGATGGAAGAAAGTCACTGGAAGAGGGCAGCTGTCATAATCTAGAGAGCTGTATAACCTATCCGCATTCACCATGGGAATCTTTATTATACTGCTGTCCTTTGTCTTTCCTGAGGAAAATCTTCACCATATCCTAGTAAGATTTCTGCAGGTAGGTATAAATTAGAAAAATTTTTGCTTGCATTTCTTATGACCCAAGCTGCATTTACTCACCTTTATTAAATGAAGAATCTCTGCAACTGAGCTTGATAAAGTGTCATTTAACCAGAAACCTTATCTTCACCAAATGCTTTGAGTTCTTCTAAAGAATTTGATTGGGTCTGTTTTTGACAAGGCCACACACAGAGTTCTTTTAAAGGAAGATGCCATATGATCTCAGCTAGGTAAGTGGATTCTCAAAACACATCCCCATTTCTTAAAACAGACAAGAAAATGGGCATGACAAAATCCATGTTATACAATATGCTGTATATACAAATTGAAAGACTGCATCAGTTTTTCCTATTACTCAGTTTAACAAGATTCAGTAAAACATGGAAGCAAAGCACCAATAGCCATCTTTCCCCAAGTTCTTGAAGAATGTCTCAGCATCTCCTACAGGTCTTCAGGTCTCTAAAGTTTCTTCATTTGCCCCACAAGTGTCTACAACACAGATTAAACAACTTGTCACTGGGAAAGCACGGACTTTGGAGTTGGCTATCCACTTGTCTGTTTCAGTATTATATTCAAGAATGTGCCCTAATCGACCAACACCCTGAAAACCAGCCAGGACATAGACTATAGATCCCACAGCAGCACACTTCACTGTTACACCTTTCCATGGCATTGGAGACACCATCTTCCATTCATTCATCTTGATATCGTAATATTCTACATTATCAAGGCCACCTACAAAGCAATGAAATAGATAACTGCTTATTACATTATACCGTACGGACTGAAGTAGAGCATACAAATGCTTCATTAAACTTAGTCTTTATTTTCAAGGCTTAGATTAAAACCTAAATCCTAGAGTAAAAAAAAAAGTGAAAAAAAGGCCACAGCTTTCTAAACTAGTGGTTTACCCTTTTATAAATACAGAAACAGAGAAAAGTAAAAAGGAGGCTGAAAGCAAGATGTGTTGTAACAAGTGTCACGCTTTAGGCTTTCTAGAGATTCTAACGTTACGTCACGAACAGAAGAACTAACAATGCCGAATTTCTTACGGATTTGTGGCTAGTGACTAAAACTCAGGAATCCACCTGAAACTTCCCTATGGTGAGGACATTTTATTCTAGAGGGGTCACCAGTACCTTTACCTAAATTGGTCATTTATTGATAGAGGATGTCTCTCTCCATTATGATATTAAAATTATTGAAGTTTAAAAGCCTAAGTCCCTTTGAAAAGGACCAAGGGAATCAAAATTTATTAGAGAATAGTAGATTTTGTGACTAAGATTTACTTCCTTAAGAATAGGCTAGTAATTAGACTTTACAATATCTACAATCATCCTGTTATGCCTGTTCAACAATTGTAACACAAGTCACAGAGTTTTCACTTCCACTCCTGAATTATTAGATCTGAGAGATTAAGAAACCTTTATATAATGTTAAGAGGTATGAGTATTTTGCCCCAGACATAACTCTTCCCCATTATTTTACAAATCAGAACAATTAATCAGTCAGGTTACAGAATACGAACAGCAAAATAATACTTTAACTTATTGGTTCAATAGTACACACCTCTAAAATAAGCATTCAGTGAATACACTAACATTTTACAAAATGGCAGCTCTGGCTATGAGTGACTGATAAAGCGTGTGTGCAAAAAATGCATCTACTGATATTTTTGCATTAGAAATCAATCATGCTGGAATAGTTTTAGCAGCTAATTAAAATACAAGCTATATTCTAAAATAGCATTAATCTGAAATCAAATATTCCAATTACCATAAATAGTGATTAATAAACCTCATAGCTGAGAATTTTCCATTTTGAAAAGCACTTCAGAAACCTTGTGTAATTAAAATTCAATTCTCCTGGGAAATAAACTATTATTATTCTAGTTTTAAAGACAAGGAGATAGACAGATCATAAATGACCTGCCCATGGCAGTAAGTCATATTTCAAAAGTAAGCCAGTCAAAAAAAGTTCTTACTTTTTCACCACTTTAGAATAGCTGACTAGCGTTTAAATCTTTAGACTGAAGTTCCTAAATAAGTGGCTACACCTTCACCTGTCTGTCAAAAGAATGCTAAAATCTCTCAAACTATATAAAGAATAACTAAAACCAAGATTATCTTTTCTCAGATGACTGGTTTAGCCATATTAACTACTGCAGAACTGGGCTACAGTATGGGTGCACATCTGAATTTGACAGTACTGTCATTGGTAAAAGAGTCTGAAAAATAAGATACAGTAAAGCAGGGAGGTGGAAGTAGGAAGGCAACAATGATGTGACAAAAAACAGGACATGTTTTATGGTACTGCTCAAAGTTTTTCAAGCTGAACAGAGTAGAATGAATTCTTTGCAAAAGAAAAAAGGCCCCCATGAAACCTTGTGTGACCAGCTAGAGAGTTAATAGAATTAAAGTACCTAAGCCATTTTGTCCACCCACAGCAAATATTTTGTCCTTTACGAACACCAGCCCGTGATTCTTCCTGGCTTCAATCATTGGACACAGCTCAGTCCACCTGGGGAAAAGAAAACCAAACAAAACAGGAGAACTCACGATTTAGTTCCTAGAAAATAAGTATAAAATACGTAAATAAAACCTAGCATTAGAAAAATGAAATATAGAAGCAAGCTGCTTAAGAAAAACTGCCTTTTAAGTAAAACTACAAATAACTGATTTATTACTGCTTAACTCAGGAAAATTCCTTACCACATATAATTCTTCCTATTCATCTATACCTCAGTTATTTACGGAGTGAGCAAAGCCACAAGTGACCAAAAGTAATCAGAACTGATACAATACTTACGTTTCGGTGGCTGGATCATAAACTTCACAGGAATTTAGGACTCTTCCAGAAACATTGTTTCCCAAGCTTCCTCCACACACATAAATGAGACCATTCGCCTCTACCATTCCGTGGCTGCATCGCTGAGTCAGCATGCTGGGCTTTGTGTGCCAGCTTTCTGTTCTCGTGTCATAGCATTCAAATAAATACAGTGCAGAATTTCCTTAAAAAAATAGAAACCCACCAAAGGGGCATTAATTTTTTATGGTTGTCTTTTGAGAGAAGAGTTAACAGTAATTATCAAATTGATGCTTTATGTGTTAGTTGAAAAGGGAAAGCTGCTTTCCCACCTCCAAAAGCAGAACTAGCCAACTTGAAACTTGGTACTATTCAGAAAGTACATACTTGCAATTCTTTTGACTCTTTTGTTCCAAAATATGCAAGTTTATAAAATTGCTGTTTGTGTTTAAAAACAAAAACAAATGATGAGGATTTTTTTTTTTTTTTAGGGGGAGAATAAACACTGAACAGAGATGCATATAAATTACCGATCATACTGTCATCATCTCATGCTACTCTCACTACTTGGACATTTATTGAACTTTCAGATGTGAAGATGAAACCAGCTTTGTAAACTTAGTACAGATTCACATGAGTCTTTTCTCTAAGCAATTTGACTTGCCCAATTCCCAGAATACTTGTTGCCTTTGGAATCTGATTGCTTGATTATGTCATAACATACTCCTGAATTATTAGCAACCACAAGACAGCTACCCCTCACCATTTTCCTTTTTTCCTGGGGACTGGCAGATACTTATTTTCTGGAAGTGCAAGGTCTGTGTACTCCTCCCTCAAGGACCAATAAAACTATTACTGAAATCAAATGAATGATAGATGGGAGCTTAAAGACTTGTGCTCAGGTAACCAGCTGAACTATAGCCAGAGAAGAGAATGCTGGATACAACTTTCTCAGAAAAGAACCAGGATCCTTCTCCCCTTTGTTTCAATAGATATATTCACCTAGAACAGTTAGAGGTGCCTTTTCTTGTGCGTCTTTTTCCTCGGCTTTCTACTCCTAAAAATAGTATCACACTAGCAGCACTCACTACCAGCTGGGGATCTGAACCCTCAAAACAGTGCTATGTTTCCAGACCCAAGATACAGGAGCAGAGTTCTATAAACTGTGCATTTGTTTATTCCTACCATGTAATTCTCATTATCACAAAGAACTGTACAGAGTGGGATGTATTTTTTCCTTGATGTAAATACACATCCTTATTGCTTTGAAGATGTAGAAATTCTCATCCATGGGAAATACAGCAGAACTGCCTTTAATATCTTTTTTTTTTAAAAAAAAAAAAAAAGGTGAAAGCTTCCATTTTCAGTATGCTGTCAGTATAATGTTAAATATTTTTCCTGCACCGAAATATAGTGAAAGAATTTAGTATGTTTAGCTTTCAAACTCTGGTAGCTATTGCAAATAAAACAGTACTCCCATCAATTCAAAAAGGGGAAACAAGCCTTGTTTCTGTAATGGACTGGCACAGTAATTTGTTTTTCAAACTCTTCAATCAATGCAAAAAGCATGCAATTTTTAGATTTCTCTACAGCTAAACACACTGCAGCATTTTCTCTGATTAATGGTTTCACATAATTGCCTGCTCCAAATTAGAAAATACTAGATTCAGGATAGACAGACGTTTCCAAACAAGCAGTGTTCACTGGATTCCAAAGAAGAAAAAAGTACAGGCAAAATAAACTCTGTTATTAAATTTTAGCTTTTACTATTCTGTCTTGAATATTTATGGAAAGCAAAGTGAAACTGTGCAGTAATGTGAGGGTAGATTTAAAAGAAAACTCCTAAGTTAAAATTTCCATTACAGTTGTATTAACTAATTACAATGTATTAGAAAATAAAGTATACAATCAAAGTTTGTATCATACTCCCTCATAAACTGACGTGGGAAACTAGGAAGATTTACGAGACACTGTAGTGTTCCAAGTTTCCCAATGCAGCCTTAGTTAAGCCTATTTCAAGTAATGGGAAAGGTGCTATTTCACATTTACCACACTAGGTGGCAGCTAGGAACTGTTTAATCTGCTGCTACACTAGACCTCCGAAAGTATTTTAGAAGTCAGATAACATTACCTAGATGTCACAACTTCCCATTAAGTGACTTATCAATGTTAAGTACCGATTATGACCTTTTTTCCTCTGCTCACTTCTCTCTGCAGCAAGGCAGAACTCAAAAGGATCTACTAGAAAATTTCTCCCTGGCGTCAGGTTTTTTGTTTTTGTTTTTTTTCCTCTTTTTTTTTCTCTCCCCAAGAACATGGCTTTTTTTAAAGCTCTGTATTTTTATGGATATAGCATACCTACATTCCAACTTTGGTTTGCTGATGATGTATTGGATTTAGAAAAAATAAATTTAAAATGTTGCTGTAACACACAGCATAAGTCACCCGCTACGTTTCTTGGGGAGAAAAAAAAGCCCAATGGTGTTAATTTTTTTTTTTTACTATTATGAGTAATAACACCTACAGAAAGTAGTATTTCTCCATTTACTGAAGCAAACCAAGAGAATAACAAACTAACAGAAGATAACTCCTGTCATTTGACAGAAAAATTGGACAAATTCCTTTACAGGGCCAGATATGATTGCACCACCAAAAGCAGTAGCTTCCAAAGCTTTTTTCCCCCCACCCTTTTTCCCTTGAAAAACCTCATTAGGCCCAACATATGTTGTATACAAGGAATGCCATTGTCAAAATGCAGCTATTCTGGCCATGTATCACAGAAAATTTTAAACCACAGAGTTCTGTGGATTTATGGAAGCTAGCTAAATGTATTTCCTTGTCCCTAGTGAACTCTTAGGAGTTGCAGTGTACTTTATGCTCTAGTTAATGTAAATATCATCACTTCAATCAGTGAAACCATTTTAAAAACACAACAGAAATAGATTGTTGGATTGTAGGGAGGATAAAATTCTAAATATGGGAAAATAAACTCATTAGGCTAACATGGCAACGTGCAGTTTCTTTTCAACATTCATGCAAAAACCAGAAAAATTTCCAGGTATGTTTGTTTGTGCTTTTTTTTTTTTGGTTTGTTTTAAAGATTTTTAGTGTCTTACCCACTTCTGAACCACCAGATGTATAAATTTTGCCCTCAGCAGCACAGGCTGCAAGGCTATCTCGAGGTGTTGGAGGTCCTAGCTTGGAATACCAGCTATCCTTCACCACATTGTAGCAGTCCATTCGCTTTATAGGGAAGAGCTGGGAACCACCCAAAATATAAACTACGTTGTCCCAGAAGACACAAGCTGCATCCCTGCGCTTTTCAAAGGGACATCGGATGTCTGTCCAGCTGTAATCCTGCATTACAAAGAACAGGTAATGTCTAATAGATTATAACACTTACCTGCACAGCGAGTGTTTTTTCAAACAGAGCTTTTCATAGAGATTTAGATATGGTCAGTTTTAAAGTTCCTTTTCAAAACAAACATGAATACTGTTTATTGAAGAATACTCCTCAGGCGTACTCTTGAAAAATTCTCTTAGACACATAGTTAGCTGCAATGAACCATGACATTATGAATTTCTATTTCCTCATTCCCTGTGTGCACCCAGTACAGCTTTCCTGAAAAACAGATATTTTTTTTCCCAACATAATTGACTTCCTGCTGCTATCATGTCAGAAACAATGCATGTGATCAATAAAGCAGGATTGCATTTTCTTTTATAGGAATGGAAAAAGACATCTTACATATAGTAACAGATTCTTTCTAAAAAAAATAAAATACAGAATGTACCAAACAAAGGCGATGGAAAAAGGAGAAGATAATATCCAAATTGACAAGCAACTCAGTTAAAAAGCTCTGATACATACTTTATTACCATGACAGCTAGAAGCTTATTTACAGAATTTACAAAACACAAACGATCTATAGCTATCCACAGTTGATAGCATGAGAAATAGGGTAATGCTCCATCACAAATACTGGCAGTCATGTTGCCTAGAAACTGATTTTGCATGGATTGGCAAAATCAGTGACTATCAAATATGGGCAGGA